TTTGTTAGCTCTCTCGTTCGCGGTTGGAGAACCCCCTTTTTTTTGGAAGGGGCAGAATGTCATGCCCCACTGGCATGCCTACTTACTTGCATGCATTACCTTGTATTGTTTGTCATGTCTCCCATACTGGGAATGGTTCATTCGTCAATATACCTTTATTCATGAACATTGCCTGACAATCGACGTACCTTTGCACTGACTCTGACACAATTCCTTGTCCTGCCTTGCGCCAACACCTGAGTACCCTTCCCTGTCCAGTCCGGGGTCCTAACAGTTTGACGACTCAGCCCCTTACTCACCTGTTGGTTCTGTGAAAGAAGTTCTTGTCCGCGCTTACGTCATCCCCGTTCGCGTTTTCCACTCGCTTTTCCAAGCTTCGCGAATTTTCTCTTCGCTTCTCGAATTTTCTCCTCGCTTCTTTCTCCCTCTCCTTCATCAACACCGTATCTCCCCGGTGTCTGGTGTTCTCTGTCGATACCTGTCGACTTCCTGGGGTATTTCTTGTGCGTACATACGGCTGGGGAACTCCCCCACTCGATTGCGCAATCCGTGCGTCTTCTTGCGTCATTTTCGCACTACCACAACTTCGACTCTCGAAGGTAGTCCTGTGACTCTCTCCCTCTCCCTCTCACACGCACACTCTGTCTGTGTTGGTACTTCTACCATTCCTGCTTCTATCGCATCCGGCGGCATCCATCCATCACAAGGGAAGACAAACTAAAAAAAAAAAAAAGAAAAAATTCGCTGGGGAAAAATTTCACCTGGGGAATTCCCGATTACGCAATACTGCATCATCTCCGCTTCGGCTAATTGCGTAATTCCCTTCTGGTTTTTCTATTTAAGCAAAACCCTTTTTCTGATTTTCAATCAGTCTTCATTTCTTCATTTTTCTCTTTTCTCAAGTCTTCATTTTCCAAGTTCATTTCTCAAGTCTTTCTTCTCTCTTGCCTTCTTCCTCTTGTCCCTTTTCTCTTCTTGCCCCTAGCACGAGTTTAGACTCCCTCTTGCTATCTCACCTCTCCTCCTCTTGGCCTTCGCTATGAGTACTTCGTCTGTTCCCGGCGTCCAAACGCGCGCTGCCGCCGCTGCGTCTACGCCAAATCCTGCCCCTTCGGCAACTCCTGCCTCTTCGGCAACTCCTGCCCCTTCGGCAACCTCCTCTGCTCCTCCAGCAGCTACCAATCAATCCTCGTCCTCCGCCCCTCCGGCAATTCCCTCTCAACTTCCCAGTCAATCGTCATCGTCTGCCTCTCCGGCAGTTCCCGCCACTCCGGCAATTTCCTCCTCTCAGCCACCCATCCAACTCCCTTCCGCTCCGGTTCCTTCCACGCTATCCCTCTCAGCTGACCAACTGGCCGCAATTTTCGCTCAAGCCATTGCCCAGCATCAGTCCTCCATCCAACCCGTTGTTGTTGCTCTCTGCGTCCTCAGCTCACCCTGCCGGAATTCTTCACTGGCAAGGATCCTTCCAAGACCAGAGACTTTCTGCTTCAGATCAGACGCTATGTCGGCAATTTCCCCGATCTGCCCGACCACCAGCGAATTAGTACTGTGATCGACCGTACTCGTGAAACCGCGTTCACTTGGTGTAACACAGTTGCTTCTGACCCTTCTGCTCCTCTTTCCTTTGATGAGTTTCTTTCCCTTCTAGAGAGACGTTTCGGAGATCCAAATGCCGCGTTTCGCGCAAATGGTCTGCTTCTTGGTCTGCTTCTTGGCCTCACTCCCTCCGGCCGCACAATCGATGAGCTGTTTACCTTCGTCCGCTCCATTCGCGACCAAGGCTGCACTCTGGGCACCGACGCCTTCTTCCACGTCGTCGAATCCCTCTTGCCCGATCGTCTCCAACTCGAGTCTCGTCATCTCCGTGCCAACCACGACCTCTCTCTCG